CGATAGTTGATCTTAAATAATTTTTTATTAAGTTTAACTTGCTAAAACTTCTCTCGCACGAAGCAATAGAAACGGGAAGAGTTAGAAATATTCGAAGAGCGACGTTGATATTTGGGTAAGATTCAATTAAACCAAAATCATGAAGAGCCTGTAGAATATTAAGCGGAGATGCAGTTTCCATATTTTGTATAAGAGTCGTTACTTCAAACTTAAAACTTTCAATTTCACTTGTGAATTCGTACTTTTTAAAATCTTTGCTATATTTAATAGCGAGATTTGCAGCCGATTTTTTTAAATCAGCAACACTCATGTATTGTAAAGACCAGATAGAAAGCAAAAATCGTCACAGATAGTTTTCATTTTTTCATAACGCCAATCTATTTGACACAATAGAGTGTTAAGAACACTGTAAATTTGTATTTTAAACGGGCGTGCCGTGACATTTGATGATAGGGAAGCTGTGTTTCTGTAAGAAACCGACATCCAGGGGCAATCAGTCAATTGCGCGTCAGTGATGGTCTAGGGTCCATTCGTATCGTTTATTCGATAAGCCAGTAAAAACCATAGACTCTAAATTCATTTTTAATATCACAATTACATTCCAAATCGCTAGCCACGATATAAGGGCTACAATTAAAAATAATAAAAATTTACTTTGTGAAATAAAATATGTGGTGGTGTACTGGTGTGAAATGTTCAACGCGGACAGGTAAACACACACGTTTTACCAATTAAAAGAGTTTAATTTCTCGCAGAATTTGAAATATATATACAGAATATGTTCGGATTCCCGTTATTCTCCTTCAAACGGTTCCACAATCTTGAGTGACCAGGTATATCAATAGACCGGTAGTTAATTTCTCGATAACTACCTCCCGACAATTTATTTGCACGCGTAAACCTTAACCTAACTTAAACTAAAAATAGAAATGTAGAAGGGGAAATGAGAAGAATTAAAGGACAGAAGGGTACCCAATTTTCCAGTTGGTTCTCCCCCGTTCCTCGTCTCGGTTTCACGTCTGTTCTCCTCTTAGAACAACTCGGGTCCGTTTTGGGGTTTTTCTCTATAATCGTCGACCGGATTCTTCTACCGATCCGCTTCTTACGTCCTCCTCCTGCAGCGCTCCTCGACTTTCCGTTCAAGAGCCTGCTGCCACTCATCTGTCTCTCTCCGAGTCCAGCCTAAGAATGCTTCTAGAAACTCTTCCTTTTCCCTCCAGCCTCGTTTTGTCCTTTTGTTCTAACGCTACTCCCTGATGGGTTAGGGGTGAGGCGAGTTCTCGGAAGTCCGAGACAAAGGAACACAGAAATCGGAAAGAAGGAAAATTCTAGCTGTAAAAATCTAAATATGTTAATCTTAGTCATTTGTTTTCTAACTAATTCGNAAGAGTTGTTTTGTTTTCTCAGAGCTGAGGCTGTATCAAGCATTGTTCTGGAGGAGGATGATACTGCTAGACAATAGTCCTCTTCTGTAATTCTGAATGATCCATTGCAATCACTTCAGAATATCCATCGGTGTTTGTTATGGCTCCTTTGAGCATGAACATTTGTCATATAGATTCTTGGAGTATGGACCATTCTTTATACAGTTATAAAACAATAATCAAATTACAATTTTTTCAATCTTATTTATTTTAAGAAAGAATTTTTGCCATTTTAGTTGCACAATTCATCTTTTTCAAATCTGTCTTTGGTGATATATATTGCTGCTGTTCTTATAATGTACTCTTTGACTGCTCTTAAATTTCTTGTTCTTATTCTTTTCTTTATCTTCTGTTTTTATATTAGTATTTTTGGTTCTAAAATAGGAAATTTTTGTTTCAAAACAAATGTAAATGAAATTATAGACAAATATCATTAATAAATAGTAATTAAGAATGTATTATTACACACAAAAATAATCTAACATTTTTCTTTAATTTAAAGGAAGATATGATATTTAACATAATTTAGAGTTAGAAGTACTATACATTATTTAAAATATTGCATTATTTTTTAATTTTATTTTCTTACAGCATATCATACAAAATGCATAGATCCTTGGTTAACAAAGAACCAGCGTACTTGTCCTATCTGTAAACGAAAAATTCGTTTAGGTAGTGTTTCATCAGATGAGGAGAGTGATGAAGATACTGAAGAACCAACTGAAACAACACCCCTATTAAGATCACTTCATGGAAGATCTATTATAAATTTCATGCAGAATCCAGTTATTAATTCTAGCAGGGCTGATATTGAAAATACTAATAATAATAGAGAAATTAATGAAGAAACACAAGAAAATTCAGTACCAGAACATCAAACTGGGTCATTATTGCATCATTTAACATGTGTTGAATTACATCAGCCTAATGAATCCACCAACAACACTCCATATAGTGCTTCAGCCCCTTGTTGTTTATTATCACATGGTGTAAATGTAGAGGACAATTCTATTTCAGGAGATATTTCTGGTATTGAAGCTGGTGAGGGAATATCAAGTTTACCTAGTACTTCGTCGTCGTCGTCATCGTCTTGCACTGAAGTTAATACTAAAAATGAAAATTCTGTTCATAAAGATTTAATTGTGTGAATACTTAGTGATATTATTAATTATGAAATATTAATACTGAGAAGCCTTATCATTCAGCAGTGTTAATTTTCAAAATTAAAATGCTTTATCTTAAAAAATTTTAATGATGAATTATTCATCTTCATTTAAAATTATTTGATATATTTTTATATTCTTAATAAATAAGAAGACAATGTTTCTAAAGCCGAAACATAGATTTATAAAAGCTTTCATTTGAAATTTTAGAGATAATTTATCAACATTTATTTTTAATTAGAGAAAAATTTCATAGGGGGCCATTTTTATATATAACTTTTGTGTTGTATTGTTTACATACACATAATTAGTTGAAATTATATACATACGTTAGTGGCAGGAATTACTAAAAATTAAATGTTAGATTTTTGAAACTTCAATTTGATATGTTAATTTCTTGTGTTTTATTATTATTATTATTAAGAATCTGGTGTGCTAAATGTGTGATTCATTTAAAGAATGATAAATTTAAAATATTCCTTTCATCCATTACATGTTGAATGAAAGATTTATTAGTGATAAAACATTAATAATAATAAATATAATTTTCAATATAAAGAATATAAATAATATATTTGTGACTTTCTAATTTTTGGATTTAAACATTTATTTATAAATAGTCAAACTTATTATATAAGTGGAAATTTTTACTGTTTTACAAAATGTTCTAATAATTTATTTAANATGATGAATTATTCATCTTCATTTAAAATTATTTGATATATTTTTATATTCTTAATAAATAAGAAGACAATGTTTCTAAAGCCGAAACATAGATTTATAAAAGCTTTCATTTGAAATTTTAGAGATAATTTATCAACATTTATTTTTAATTAGAGAAAAATTTCATAGGGGGCCATTTTTATATATAACTTTTGTGTTGTATTGTTTACATACACATAATTAGTTGAAATTATATACATACGTTAGTGGCAGGAATTACTAAAAATTAAATGTTAGATTTTTGAAACTTCAATTTGATATGTTAATTTCTTGTGTTTTATTATTATTATTATTAAGAATCTGGTGTGCTAAATGTGTGATTCATTTAAAGAATGATAAATTTAAAATATTCCTTTCATCCATTACATGTTGAATGAAAGATTTATTAGTGATAAAACATTAATAATAATAAATATAATTTTCAATATAAAGAATATAAATAATATATTTGTGACTTTCTAATTTTTGGATTTAAACATTTATTTATAAATAGTCAAACTTATTATATAAGTGGAAATTTTTACTGTTTTACAAAATGTTCTAATAATTTATTTAATAAAAAGTATATTACAGTGGGTGATCAGTTAACGAACATAATCTGTTCCAAGACTTTGTTCGCTATCCGAATTGTTCGTTAAGCAATTATCGATTTACTGTAGGTTTTAATGGGAATTTAATTAATTCGTTCTGGAGATCCCCAAAAATAAAAAATATATACTTTCTTACTACGTTTATTTATATGTAATAATAAAAATACATACATACACGGTCTTGCATTTTTATTAGTCGTGTTTTTTCTGTTTGAAGGGGTTAAAGATTCTGTCTAATGTCGATTACTTTTCTATCTTCTTCAGGATTTTTCTTAAGTAATTAATAGCATTGCAATTGTAGAAATCCCCAAGCTTCAACCTGGTTTGGATGCCGTTCTAAGACATCCTTCCACTTCTTCAAACAAAGTTCTTCAAACAGATATCGGCATCAATCCTCTTTTTCAGAAGAAAACATATCTTGCCAAGTTTCTTGGTGTTCTTCATTCAAGAGTTCTTGGCGTTCTTCTGTCGTCAGATCCGTTTCAGGTTCCATTATGAACTCTTCAATGTTTTTTATTTTTCAGATGTGATTTTTGTTACTCCTTTAGCTGATTGAGTCTTCTTGATTATACAGTATTTTTCTTAAATAAGATTGAACTGCGGCCTACTGTAGACCTGTTTATGCCATACTGCCCAGCAACATTAGGCATCTTCTGCCCACTCTCTACCTTTGCTATTATACTCTCACCTTTCGAAAAGAAAAACAGACGCAAAACTTAACGAGTGCCTACTCGACAGTCTCGCGAATACATAAAAGAATTGTTTTGTCAGAAAAATAAAAGGCTGGAATTACAAGGGAGAGTTTCAAAGTTCGGAGGAATACTATCCGATCGGTATATACCGGCTTGAGCGTCGATGTTGATGTCTCCCACATCCCAAAAAGTTTTGAATTGTTGCCCAAAGACAAGGGAAGATCAATCGGTATTCATTATTTTACGTCGCTTCTTCTTGTGTTTGTTCTGTGGGGTGTTCGTTATCCGATCATGTGTTCATTGTCCGAACATAAAAATCTTTTGCAAAAGTGTTCGTTATCCGATTTGTTTGTTAACTGATCACCCACTGTATATGAAAATATTTGGACTGCAAATGTATCTTAAAAATTTACTGTTTTACAGTAAAAATAAACTTCCTTTAATGCATTAAGCTTTTGAATAAATTATTCATTTTTAAATTAATTCTAAATAAAAAATAATCTGAAATAATAAATGATATTACATATTTCAATAAATATTTTAAGTTCTCTTATAAAAAAAATATTTTTATTAAATTTTTTAAACTGATAATTTTGAGATATAGAATCTCATTGGTCATTTTGGAATTTGAATCAAATTTTTGTTGTTGTATTTTTTAATTGAGTTGAACATGTATTTTTTTATACATTTGAAAAATTTACTATTGTTATTTGATCTGTAATAAATTTGAAGAAAAATATATTAGACTTCATTATAAATGAAATGCATATTTATTAAAGTTTTACAATTTAATTTAATTAATAAAGTATGTGTTATTATGTATGAAAGAATGTATGCTTTATAATAGCATTAAATGATTTTTCTAATATTTGATTATCATATTAGAAAATCATTAAAAGCTTTATGCATTAAGAAATTTTAATATACAAATGAAGATTGAGAAAAGTTACTCTGATATATGCATGATTCTTCTCTGTTGTCAAATTTACTAACCATGTATATTTGTATAAGTTTTGGTTTTTATATTTATAAATATATCCATAGTAATATATTGCCTTTAACAAAACATGTTTTATAAAATAAGATTTCAAAAATTTTTCATTCTTATTTTGATTTTTCTTTTCAAGGAGTTTTGATATTAATTTGTTAAGTTGCTAGTCCAGCATATTAAAAATTTCAATATTCAGAAAGATGTATAGTAATTTATACAAATAAATTCTCAATTATTAAATTTATATTTTAAAGTTTAATTTAACTTGTTATGAAATTTAAATGTAGCATCATTAACAAATCTTGTGGCCAAATAATTTTTTCATCTGTAAAATTACATAAACATTTTAGCTGATATATTCTAACTACACAATATCTCTAATATTTTCTTACCTTTCTGCTTGAAATTGAGTTCATAAAAACAAACTACTACCAAAATGACTAAGTGCTTTTGGACTTTTTTCATCTACCTTTAGACTCCTCATTACCAAAAAACAATCTTTTTGAACTTTCATTTGAATGTGTCTTCTTATTTGGAATTCATCTACCATAGTTTAAATTTAAACCCAATGTCTTCTCATTCAATTCAAAATGCCTTCTTTATCATTGTTCATTTCTCCACTGAAAATCTTTAATAACAACTTAAATTTTCTTAAATTTTTAAAGTTTTGGTAACCCATGTTATCATCATTATCCACTGGTAATATCATTTGCCCTATTAAACTCTACTTTCACTATCATAGGTGCTTAATGCTCAGTGTGGCACTGAGTAGAGAACTGAACAGAATGCACGTTATCAGACTTGATAAATTTTGGTTAGGAAAAGCTAAACTTTAATATGTCTATGCTACAAATTGACAAGTGTTTGAAGCAGTGTGATAACTTCATAAAATGACTAAAAACTAATTGAAGTTTATTGAAAGTATTTTCATAGGCTATTAATTAGTATTTCAAAAAGAAAAATTTAAATTCTTGGAACACTGTATTCTAAATCAGTCATTTCTAAACTTTTCAGGGTAAGGACCAGTAATACTGTAATATTAGTTTATCATAAATATATGAATGGTAAGATGTTAGTTGTGTATGCTAGTTCATGATTGCTATGATTGCTGTGCAATATCATGTAATAAGATATTTCACTTAAATAACTTTTAAAAGCAAAATTTATTTTTATAAGAAACTTATTACTATTTTGTATTATAATTTTAAAACTTTTTGAAAACTAGCATTTTGTTCCATGGATTGATACCAGATCACAAACATATTGAGAAATAATATTCTAAAGAATTTTTCTTCTTTTAGACTAACTTATAAAAACATTTCTTAAGCAATTTATATGATATAAGAATTATTATTTATTTTAATATATATTTTTACAATCAACTCCCCTATAACACTGTTGATTATTGCGTTTTATATGAATTCCATGTTGTACGAGTCACTTAGATTTTACAAATACGTGTGCCAGGCTGTGAACGGCTCACGTATTTGTAAAATCTAAGTGACTCCTACAACATGGAATTCATATAAAACAGAATTATCAACAGTGTTATAGGGGGGTTGACTTATTTCAATCCAGTCTGAAGATCATGAGTATGATCTTGAAAGTATTTAGCATGAAAAGGTTTGTTTTAATTCTCTGAATGAAGTTTGAGTTGTTTTAAATTATTTAACAACATGTAATTCTTGTTATTTTAATAAATAATGTAAAAATATAAATTATTATAATTTAAATAAGTTTTATCTTATACAATTGTATTCACTGCCTTTACATTTTTGAATTAGATTTTTTAATCACTCATTTGCATAGAAACATGATATGCTCATATGTATGCCAGCTTGTTTTCTCTTATAAGATTATTGCAATGTTGTGTGAATGTAAATTAAATATATATGTGCTCATATAATAACTATTCACTAACAAAAAAATGCTTCTGATACTATAGTTTTTAAAAATACTGAATTTTTTAGGTATTTTGCAAAAGATGGT